AAATTCAGGCTTAACATTTTCTAAAGCTCCCCAGATATTTTTGATGTTGCTAGCAAGGCAGTAACTATCGGCCTCTGCAAACTTAAAACATCTATTTGATTCATTCAAAATTCAAACCAATTACAAGATCCTGGGGGTATTGAAGACTATTGGATTCTATATTTTACTTTGACAATAATGACAAGATGCCTGACTTTGGGGAATCATGGTCTCTCTCAAGTCGGAGAGTCCTCAGGTATTATATGAGAACAGTCTCAATGATGTCAAAAATTGTACAATTTTTTCAGTGAAATACTAGCAAATGCAATTCAGCAGCACAGCAAAAGCAATACACCATAACCAAGAGGGATTTACTTCTGCAAGGAAATTATGGTTCAACAAATGAAAATCATTGTGATAAATCACATAAATCACAGAGGTGTACAATATGAAAAATGTCGAATACAGAATGAAGAAAAGCACATGAACAACATAACAAGCATTTCAGGAAGTTTAGCATCTTTTCATGATATAAAGAATACTCACCAAACTGGGTATGGAATAAAATTAACTTAATATATCATGTATGAAATGTCAACAGCAAACATGATACTTAATGGTAAAAGATTGAAAGCTTTTCCTCTAAGATCACAAATAAGACAAAGATGTAACTTTCATAACTTTCTTTCAACATAATACCAGAAGTCCTAGCCAGAGCAATTTGACAGGAAAAACAAATAGAAGATATTCAAATTGGAAAACAAAAAAGTGAAATTATCATAATTTACAGACAACATGATCTTCTTTATATAAAACCCTAAACATTTCACAAAACCTATTAAACCCAATAAACACATTCAGAAAAATTGCAACCTACAAAATCAACAAGTAAAAAAATCAGTCATTTTTTATTTAAAGCATAATAAGTTAATTTGATTTAGTTTTGGAGTCATTAACAATAAATACAATTAATGAACTATCTCTAATTGAAATGATTTTCATTCTTTGCAGTAATAAAGCTGTTTTTCTAAATAGTGATAGCCACACAAATTTAAAGGCTTACACTTTTAAATAAGGTCTTGTCATAAAGCTACTTGACATCAGGAGTCTCTACTTTGTCTGAATGGAAAGTACTGATAGAGCAATACAAAGGACTTAGAGATCATTTCTACACTGAAACTAGCTTACCAACTGGGCTTTAAATTCAGTTTTTTCATCTACACCTAGAAGGATTTATGACACAGTTCCCTCCGAAAGACATTCTTTTCAAATGAAAGGAGACCATTGCTTAGTTCTTTGCACTAATGTACCATTCTCTTTTGCATTTTTATTTATGGGAAAGAGGTAAAACAAAATTTAATAACAAGATGATAGAAGAATAACAAAGTTAATACATTGCATATTGTTATCTTTAAAGTAGTTACTCAGAGTACTACATAAAAAATTCTTCAATTGACATTAACACAAACCCTCCTTTTCCAGGAACTAAGAGACCCTAACAGTAGAGCTAACTTGCATTTTTTGTCTCATTTTTCCCTTCCTTCTTTTTCCTTTCCTGCATCCTACCTAGTTTTTCCTTTTAAAATTTTTCCTATTTCACAATATCTCTTGTTAATTTTAGACCTTATTTACTCTTTAAATTTCTCAAACCAGGAGTACAACATGATGTTTATACATGTGAATCTAATTTATTTGACTTATGAGTATGTTCTCAAGTTGCATTCGTTTATCCTTCCTTATGTCTAAGTAGTTCTCCATTATGTAAAAATATCACAACTTTCTTATCTATTTCTAAGTGGATGGGCATTTGGGTTGTTTCCAGGACTTAGCTATTAAACATTGTGTTGCTAAAAATGTGAGTGCACATATATCATTGTGGTACAGTGTTTTTAGTCAAATAGGACCACTAATCCTAGCATTTTGAGCAATCTGCATACTAATTTCCACAAATGTTGCACCAGTCTGGACTGCCACCAACAGTGATGAAGGTTTCCTTTATCCCTATAGCCCTTCCTGCATTTGTTATTGGTTGATTTCTTGAAAGCCATTCTTTTCTGGAGAAAAATGAAATCTCCTCTGTGATGTTTTCATTTGCAACTCTAAAATAACCAAAGATGTTGAACATTTTTTATATATTTTGCCATTTGTATTTTTCACATGAGAAATGTATATACATCTCAGATGCCCATTTTTTAATGGTTCTTTAATTTAGAGGATCTGATTTTTTTTCAGTTCTCTGTATGTTCTACATAAAAGTCCGTGTGTGAGGAACACTTGGATAAAATTTTTGCCTACTCCATGGGTTGTCGCTCATTCTGTTGGTGATTTCTTTTGAGGCACAAAAATTTTTCATAGAGCAAGGAATATAGAACTGTGGCACAGAGACTGCCTGGGAAGCATGAGGTCCAGAGTTCAACTCCTGTTTCCACCAAAAAGAAAAAGGTTTTAATAAGATGAGATCTCAATTGTTGATCCATCAAAGTATTTCCCATGCAATTTGGGTTTTGTTATGAAGTCTCTGCCCACCTGTGTTCTCAACATTTCCACCTACTTTTTCTTCCAGTGGATTTAGTATTTCTGTTTGAATATTTAGATGTTTGATCCATTTTGACTTTAATTTAGTGAACGATGATAGATATGGGTTTAATTTAGTCTTCAGCATGTAGAGAGTCAATTTTTCAGCACTATTTATTAAAGAGGCTGTCTTTATTCCAGAGAACATGTATAGCCCCTTTGTCAAAGACAAGAGTGTTTGTAGTTGTGTCTGCACTTTCTAATCTGTTCTGCCCACCCTCAAGTCTATTTTTTTCCAGTACCACTTGGCTTTTACCATAGTAGCATTGTAGTATAATTTCAAATCAGGTATTATGATGTCTCATGCCTTACCTTTGTTGTCCAGAATTGCCTTTGCTATTCTACATCTCTTCTGGTTCCAAATAAATTTTAGGAATGCTTTCTCTAGTTATGTAAAGTATGCTAATAGTATTTTGATCAAGATTGCATTTAATCTGTATAATGATTTTGGGAGTATGGTCATTTTCACTGTTTGGTTCTTCTTATTCATGAGCAAGGGATATCTTTTCTATTTCTAATATCCTCCTTGATCTTCTTTTTTAGAGTACTGTAATTAATTTTCAATTACTAGATTTTTTGCTTCCTTTGTTACATTGATTCCTAAGTATTCTTTCTTTTTTTTTTTTTTTTTTTTTTTTTGGATGCTATTGTGAAGAGTATGGTTTCCCTAAGTTTTCTCTCAGTGAGTTAGTTGATTCTGTACAGGAATACTATTGATTTTTGAGCATTGACATTGTATCCAGGTATGCTGCTGAATTTGATTATTAAATCTAGAAGTCTTTTGGTGGAGTTTTGGTGATCCTCCGTGTAGAGTATCATGTTGTCTCTCAAGGGCAATTTAACTTCTTCCTTTGCTATTCTTATTCTTTTTATTTCTCTCCCTTGTCTAATTATCCTAGCTAATGTTTTCATAACTGCATTGAGTAGGGGCGATGATAGTACACTTCTTTGTCTTGTTCCTGATTTTACAGTAAAAACTTTCTGTTTTCATCTGTTCAGAAAGATGTTGGCTGTTGGTTTGTCATAGAGGACTTTTGTGAGATTGAGGTAAAGACAATCTATTCCAATTTTTGGTAGAGTTTTTTCATGGATGAATGCTGGACTTTGTCAAAAGATTTTTCTGTGTCTATTGAGATGATCATGCGATTTTGGGCACTGTTGGTATGATGTATTGTATTTACTGATTTGCATATGTTGAAACATCTCTGCATTCCTGCAATGAATCCCACTCGGTCATGACATATAATCTCCTTGATCATTTGCTTCATTCTGTTTGCTAGTATCTTATTGAGGATTTTTGCACTTATGTTCATCATAGAGATTTGCCCGTAGGTCTCTACTTCGGACCTTAGGGTAATACTTGCCTCGATGAACTCTTCCTATCTCACTTTCAATTTCATTAGCTGACATTGGTTTATTCAGAAATTTTATATTTTCTCGATTCAGTTTTGGTAATCGTACATATCTAGGAATCTGTGTATTCTGAGAGTAAAGATTCGCATGAGAATAAAGATTTTTGAAGTAAATATTGATGATCTGAATTTCCATAAAATCTGTAGCAATTTCACCCATTTTATTCCTCACTGCATGAATTTGAGTCCTTTTTTCTTTTCTTTTCTTTTTTATTTGATAAGGTAGGCTAAGGGATTATCAGTTTTAATTAAGCACCAACTCTTAATTCACTAGTCTTTGTATTGGTTTGTTTGTCTCCATTGTATTGCTTCTGCTCTGATCTTTATAGTTTCCTCCCTTTTGGGCTTTGGGCTTGACTTGGTTTTCTTTTTCTAGAAATTTAACTTTATAACACTAAGTTGTTTAATCATGCTCATTCTGTGTTTCTGAAGTCAGAATTCAGTGCTATAAATATTTTTCTTAGGACTGCTTTCATTGAGTCCCAGAGGCATTTTATCTGTATTTTTATTTAATTATAGATATTGTTCAATTTCTTCTTTAATTTCTTCTGTGACCCATTGGTCATGCAGGAGGATATTATTTAAGTTCCATTTGTATATAGAGTTTTTGCAATTTTTTGTCATTAATTTCCAATTTTGTTACACTACGGTTACATAATACACATGAGATAATTTCAATTCCTTTTCATTTACTTAAGCACGTTATGTGTGCTAGTATATGGTCTATTTTAAAGAATGCCCTATGTGTAGCTGAGAAGAGTATGTATTCTGATGTTGTTTGGTAGAACACTCTGTAATATCTACTAGGTTCATTTGTTCACAGGTATGGTCCAGTTCTGATATGTCTTTGCTGATATTTTGTCTAGTTAATATATCAATTTGTGACAATAAGTTTTCCAATTACAACTGTGTTATTGCTTATTTGATTTTTCATATCTATTAATATTTGTTTATATACTTGTATATGCCTGTATTTGTTACATTCATATATATGATTGTTATCTCTTCCTCTTGGAATTTTCCCCCAAAAGTATTACCTCTTGTCTCTGGGCCTTCCAACAAGGTTCACTGGATCCCAGCAGCCATGAAGAGTGGAGCCATTCTCTGGGCCTTTCCATGCTATTCACCTAGACCACAGTGAGGGTCAAAAAATTTTAGTTTAGTAGCATCCTAGGTATTAACCCTTTATCAGATCCATGATTTGATAATATTTGTCTCTATTCTCTAGGTTATTCTTTCACTGTTGAATATGCTTTTTGACACAGAAAAGTTTTAAGTTGTGTAGTCTAAGTAAATTTACTTTTGTTTCTCATGCTTTTTATATATTATTTAAGAAATCACAGTTAAGTCCAATGTCATAAAGCTTTCCCTTACATTTTCATCTTAGAATTTTATTGTTTTAGGCCTTATATTTATATCATTGATTCATTTAAAATTTTTGTTTATAGTATAAGGTAAAGGCTCAACTTTCTTTTTGCATATGGATGTACAGCTTTGTCAACACTTTTTGTTGAAAAGTTGTCATTTTCCATTTATTAGTCTTCATAGCTTATAAAAATTATTTGTTCATACATGTGAGAGATTTTTTCTGTAATCTTTTCTGTTTTAATTGATTCATATATCTGTCTTTCTGTTAGTAACACAGTGTTTTGATTGATGTACCTTTGTAGAATTTTAATATTGGAGATTTTTGAGACATCCAAATTTATTTTTCAGTTTGAACATTATTTTGGATACTTGATGGTCCACTGAAATTTGTTTTGAGTTTTAGGACAGACCTGTTCATTTCTGAAAAAAAATTTTGGGGGATTTTGATAGGGGTCTGCATTGAAACTATTCAATCCTTTGCTTACTACTGATAGTAATTTCAAGTCTTTCATGAAATGTTTCTCCAATTAATTTTCTTGAACCTTTTGTGCTCTCTGTGTGCAAGTCTTTTGACTCCTTGTTTAAGTTAACTTCTGAGTATTTTATGAGTTTTGATGCTATTTTAAATGGCTTTTAAAAATTTCCTTTATGGATTGTTCCTTTTTAGTATAATGTAATTACTACTGGGCACCTCCTATCACCTATATTTTAGGTGGATTATATCCATTACAACAATCTTTAAAATTGGCAAATATGCAATGATGACAAAACACTTAAAATTATCTAATACAAGCACATTGAGACTTTTATCACCTGGTTTAGCCTGAATTTCATGTGATTAAAAACTTTATATCTCTATAGTATCTCCTGTGTTCAGTGTAACATGAAGGGAATGCATGACAAATATCAGCTAGATTTTTATAAAACTGTTCATAATTCTCTCTGAGTGGTATCCTGAGTTTGCCCTGTGGATCCAGACAGATTCTTGCAAAGGAATCAGATGAACAAATGCAAGGAAACCATACTTGACATGACAGATATATCTGTAATAAGCATAATGTTTGGGGGTCACGAGAATTTTCTATCAGAACTGAGGAGATTAATGGGTCACATACAAAGGGCATGATGTGGTATAGTATGGAATCAGACAGAAGTAACAAGAAATTTAGGTGGGCCCTCTTTAGAAGTTCAAATAGACATGTGGTGACTATATTCCTGGAAGAAAATTACATGCCAGGAAGGATTCAAGAAATCAAGACAAAAACCTCAATTAAAAGAGTGGGAAATTTCTTTCAGAGTCTCAAATTCACTGAAGTATAAATTTTCAAAAATAGCTTCTTATACTCCTCTAGGTTTCAGTGATGTGTGTCAATTTTTTTTTCCTGTTTCATTTCTAATTATATTGATTTGGATTTTCTCATTCTATTAGTGAATTTGACCAACATTGTTTTGGTTGTTTTTGTTCTTGTTTTTAATCTTATCTTTTCAGGCGTCCACTGGGAATCTCTTTGATCTTTCATTTTATTTGATCTCAATTTCACTGATTTCCACTCTGATCTTTATCATTTCTTGCCTTCTACTTTATTTGGATTTGGCTTGTTCTTGATTTTCTAAGAACCTGAAATGCATCATTATGTTATTTATTTGAAATCCCTCTATTTCTCTAATATAGGCTTCCACTGCTTCCTTCTTAGTGCTTTTTTTATTGAGTTCTATACATCTTTATTTTTTTTATTTTCATTGTAATTTGATTGTAAGAAGTTTTTGAAATTTTTCCCTGAGTTGTTCTATGACCATTCACATGCATATTATTCAATCTCCAAGCATTTTGCATTTTCTGAAGTTATTTTAGGTGTTGCTTTGAAGTTTTATTGTCTTGTAATCTGAAGGAATGTAAGATACACTTTCAGTCCTGTTGTATTTATTGAGACAACATTTATGGCCCAAAATATGGTCTGTTTTAGAAAAGGTTTTGCATCCTGCTGAGAAGATTGTATATTCGGTTATTGTTGGATGAACTACTCCACAGATATTGGTTAAGCACTTTGTTCCATGATATAGCTTATTTATTGATTTTTAATGGACTGATGTGTTTATTGGTGATAACAGTATTAAAATACATCACTAGGATTGTATTGATTGATATATAACTCTCTTTTATATGGAAAAGCATTTGTTTTATGAAACTGGATATATCAACATTTGATGCATAAACACACTCATTATTTATTCTTGGTGTGTTGCTCTCTTTACCAATATGTAGTAGATTTCTTTTTCTCATAAGACAAGTTTTGCTTTGAAGTCAAATTCATAATAAATTAAAATAGGTATTCCTGCTTTTGTCCAGACTCCATCTGCATAACCAATATTTCTAATCCTTTTCCTTTTGGTGTTATTTCATTCTAGATGAGCAGAATCTCTTGCAAATAGCATAAAGTTGAGTTTTCTTTTTCAATATGGTCTTTCATTCTAAGTCTCTCAACCAGAAAATTGAAGCTATTTACATTGAGTGTAATTAATGAAAAGTATTTATTGTTTCTTTTCATTATATTTTTCCATGCTTTATTCTTCCTTTATCTTGCTTTTAACTAATTTCTCATATGGAAATATTCTTCATTTGGGTACTTTGGTGACATTGACCTTCATGATTTGTGTAGGGTTCCCTTGAATATTTTCAAATTTCCTAGATACAGACACATGATTTAATAAAATTGAACTAGGAAGATTAATAAAACCTGAATGGACAGTAAAAGACCCTGCAGCCAGGCAAGAAAACAAAACCCTCTGCCAACTAACAAAATTCCAAGACCTGACTGATTTACATTGCATTTAGAAAGAATTTCTCATCTAAAGATAGAAATGATAACCCTAATAATGGAGTTGCTCAGCATAGCTAGAGAAGATATAGATTTAAAAAAAAATACAGGAGCATGGGAAACTGAAACCCTGAATGAACAATATAGAAAATAAGTAGAATGCATGAAACAAATTCAAAGAGATAGCCAAGAAATAAAAAATTATATTGAAAGCTGGCAAAACCATTTAAATGAACTGTGGGTAGTATTTTGCACCTTGACAACAGGATCACAGCTAGCAATCATGAAAAGATAGAACTTTTAAAAATAACAAGGAAGGATGAAATGACAATTCAACAGGTTCAAGATGATGCCAAGAGAAACAATGTAAGACTAACAGGCATCAGTGAAGAAGCAGGAGTCAATGTGAATGATATGTGTAAACTAATCACAGAAGTAATAGCAGAAAATTTCCCAAATATGAGGAAAGAATCGGATATGCAGATAAGTGAGGCATACAATATGCCAAACAGTCACAATGAACATAAATCTACACCCAGACATATAATAACTTAAGATCCCAGACATACAGCATAGAAACAGAATACTAAAAGCTGTTAGAGAAAAGACACAAATCGCCTATCAAGGAAAGCCCACTAGAATCACAGCAGACCTTTCAGTACAAACTCCAAATTAACACAAGCTTGGAGTGAAGTATTTCAAGCCCCAAAAGAAAACAACTTTCAACCAAGATTGATGTGCCCTGCAAAACGTTCTCTCAAATTTAATGGAGAAATAAGATATTTCCACAACAAAGAATAACTGAAGCAATTCATGTCCACAAAACCAACCCTAGAAAGAGTATTGAGAGACATACTAGATGGAGATAAAGATGACTACAGTTTCCAGAAAAACAGAGAGAAACAAAAGACAAGGCAAGCAATTAAACAAGGTAAAGCAGAAAACCAACAGCAGGAAAATAATACGACAAGTTGAGCCAGTACATATCAGTTGTATCCATCAATGAAAATGGTCTCAATTCACCTATTAAAAAAATAGATTGACAGAATGGATCAAGAAACAGGACCCCATATAAGAAACGTATCTGATGTAAAAGGAAACTCATAGACTAAAAGTCAAAGGATCTAAAACAGTATTCCATGTGACAGAGACCCAGAAAAAAAATCAAGGGTAGCTATTCTATGTGCAGACAATGTCAACTTCAAACCAAAAATGATCAAAAGAGATAAAGAATGTCACCACATACTTGTCAAGGGAATAATTCAAGAAGAAGTGCTAATAATCATAAACATTTATGCAGCAAATACAGGAGCATTCAAATATATAATACAAATACTAATAAATATGAAAAACAGAATAAGCAACAACATAATTGCAATAGGGACCTTAGTACTCTAATGTCACAAAGAAATAGATCAACTAGACAGAAAGGCAGCAAAGAACTAACAACTGAATCAAATCTGTGAGCAACTGGATTTAGTAGATGTTTACAAAGTATTCCACCACATCGTATCAGAATACATTTTCTTATTATCTGCAGATGAGACATTCTCCAAAATAAACCATATATTACCCCATAAAACATTCTTAAGTAAATGTAAATTCAATTGAGAATCTTTGAAATTATCCCATACATATGATCTAACCATGGTGAATGGAAATTGGAAATCAATGGAAAATAATTGTAAAACATGCAAAAATACATGGAAATTAAATAACAACCTCTTGAACAATCAATGAGTTACAGGTGAAAATAAAGAAGAAATTAAGCAATACCTGCAATTCAATGAAAATGCATGTACAACATACCAAAACCTGTGGGATGCAATGAAAATGGTCCTAAGAGGCAAATGTATAGCAATAAATTATCATATTAAGAAAACAGAATGAGCAAAAATAATCTAATGCTACATCCCAGGCTTCTAGAAAAAGAAGAGCAAATA